AGATAGATAGATAGATAGATAGATAGATAGATAGATAGATAGATAGATAGATAGATAGATAGATAGATAGATTAGATCTTTATGAAAAGTCACAGGTGTTGAGTAAAGCCAGTCCCACATCACAACCAGTCACATAAATACTTAAAAAATACTTACAGTCAGTCAAATAGCAAATCATACAGTTAAACACACTTTCTATGACTTTGTAAGTGTTTGCTCTCTCAGCATCTGCCAGCTGCCTCACGGCTCTGCCAAAGCAATCGTTTCATTGAGCATTTCAAGATGATAAAATAAGCCAAGATATGCTCCTCGCAGAAACGGCAATAGTTGACCCTTCACCTCGCAATGTGTCCACTCTCAGACAAATTACTTTCAACAACATTTAAAAAGCCATTAGAACGAAGCCGAACTGTAAACGGACTATCTAGTCACCTATAATCTGGGTGACGTACGATGTAGCCTATGTAAATACCAAAAACTCTGGCCGGCAGTCTGAGATCGCTGCCAAAAAAAACAGTTACGAAAACTACCAGAGTGGAGCAATGCCTTGTGAAACCTCAAAAAAAAAAAAAAAAGAAAAGCGTGGCTCAGCAAGCAGCCTTGCATTTGCTGCCAGATAAAAGCCTTTCAGCTTCGGCCTTGGGCTTCTTCTCCCTACCTCAACTAAAACTTGGTTTCATCCTCTGAGACTCTGTTGTTAAATTAGCATACGTTGTGGGCTTTTCTTTTCTGCTTTTTTTAGTAACTGTATCCTCTTATCGTTTTGCCCATGTTATTCTGGTAAATTGACGGCAAAGCAAACGTCACTGAAGGGATTTCAAAGGTCCGCGCTTTACCAAATTTTTATCATGGAAAACATTGCTGGTAAGTAACAGTAACAATTTGCTAATTACCCCACTTGATGTGTGGCTTCAAAGATAAAACATGAATTCTATTGCATAGACAGCATACTCAGATCAGTCCCTGACATCTAATGTGGATGACTGTCTACATTTCTCAATTCAAAGACACATGGGAATATGGACATTGTTAAGAGAAAATATAAAGTAGCAAAGCTTAATTATTCGTTTGTATGCCTGGAAACACTAATCTCAGCAGGAAGTGATTGTTTCTTAGATAATTTAACCTGTAGAAGCACATTTGAGGCTGTCAATAATAGAAGCATTATTTGCTGCTCAGCATTAATCAATTATTTCATCACAAGCAAATCTGTATTTTGAATTTACTACCTACTAACCTTAATGAGTCGCATTCAGTTTGTCTCACTTAAAGCATCGCCAACCTGGTTGGAAAAGGCTTTAAAAAATCATGCCCGTGGTTGCTTTCAAACACATATGTGGTGTTCATAAGCAGAGACCCTGGGTAATGATGGCATTGATTTACTAAATATCCATTTAAAAAACTGCTCTACCTGTATTCACAACAATGCTAAAGCCCCCATGAAGGAGGTTAATGGAACATACAAGAGTCGGTCCACTTATAATCACTGTTAACCTTTTGGATTCATTTTATCTAAAAAAAAATCCCACATTTTGTCTGTTATCAAAAGCAATTAGATTCAAGATGTCAGCTGTAGATTGATGCAAGTTTGATAAACCAGTACAAAGTACTTTCATCTACGGGCACGCCAAAGCAAAAGCATACCATACACTCCCAAACACAAAAGACATAACAACATTCTTGATTTACTCTGGCAACAGTTGACTTCCTCTGTTGATTTAATCAGCTTTAACAGTCCATACAACAAAGGACCCTTTCGTCAAGACTCCTACAAGCAGTTCATTCAATTAACACTTAGGAAATGAATAGAGCAGCTGAGCGAAAACAATATGCCATAACACAGTGGATGACTCGGTCTATTAACAACTCCATGTGTAAATGACTTATCCAGCTGGGGAGCTGTGTAAATCCAGTAGTATTTGCATTATATTTTTTAAAGAAGGGATTAGTGATTCAAAACATTGTTTGTTGTTGTCCAAAAGCAGTGATAGCAGCTCTCATGAACAGAGAATTTGAGACTGGTGGGTCTAAAACTCAAAATTAAAAAAAAGAAAAGGAACTTCTTACCCAGTGCTCTCATGACAAGATTCAGAGTATTCAAAACTAGGGTTTGATTAAGTCTAACAAAGAAAGAGGCAGCACAATAGGTCATCCTTATAACATCATGCCACTTTCTGAGAGTGAGTGTCAATTACCAGGTCCTGATAACCTCACATAGTAGAGTCAAGGGGAGACCAGGGTAAAGGTATATGAATAATGTCCTAATATGACAGCAAAATCTAGCTGAGGAGTCAAAAGGTGCCGCTAGACATATCCTTTTCACTGTGATTAGAACAGTGGCTCTGAGAGAGAAGTCAGACTTCGCGATTATCTGGACGGACTGATTACCGACTGGGGTACTGGTCAAGGAGAAGGAAACCCAATGGCTAACGGGGCAGAGACGTTTATCTTTACTTGACACAAAGAGGGAAAACTTGGAAGAATCTTTCCTATTAGGTTCCTGGAAGATAAGAGAGGGACTAGGCGTTGCCAGAGGCAGTAGTGCCGGTAGTAGCAGCAGCAAAGATTTCTTTAAATAGCAAAACACCTGAGGACAACCCGACTCCAGTCTTCCACAGGTCATGACGACAGTAGAGACAAGACTGGAGCTTACGATCGAGAGTTGGAGTAATTAGCTGCCAATAAAGGCAACAGGAAAAGACAGAGAGGGAAAAAAACTCAATCGACATACCCAAACACAAATTTACGCAAAACCCTATGATGTTGTCCCATGTTCCAAAATGTAAAAGGGTTCTGAAAAAACACAAGTCAAAGCATGTCTTGCTGCCATAGATAGAGTAAAGGTGTAGCAGATGGTCGACATACACAATTTAATCTTTGTCCAACATGGTTTAGGAGGAACATGTAATTGACACAGACAGGGCGTATCGCTTTGCGAAGTGCGTCCTCTCAATCGTCCAAAAATGTGCAAACTCATTTGGGTTCAGTGTCTTGCTGGAGAAAAGTTTGACATAAGGAGAGGTTGCCGATCACAACGACCTGCCGAACGCATGACAAACATCTTATCTGAACCCGTGTAGAAAAGACAAGCGGTCAAAATATGAGAACATTTTCGTTCTCTATGAAGATTCAAATCACCAAGTTGATGCAAGATTCCATAGATAGCACATGAGGTGCTGTCCATCTTAATCATGTCCGCAGCTATGTTTGAAAGTATACTGCCCCAACTTGTTCTGCTTCCACTCTCTGGTCCAGCTGCAGGAAGAGGTCATACCTCGGGATCTTTTTACTCGGGGAAATGTTTATCCAAAACACGGGTTCTGATTTCTAGAAAGTCCGCGAATTCGGGAAACTTTTCTCTCGGTCAGCAACACTTACTGTACGCTAAAGTAAACATCAGCGTCTCATCCGAGACGTCGACACATTACTACCGCCTGCATGCCTCAGCTATTTTACACGAGATGTAATCAGTTGCTCTCGCAGCTGTATGCTCACTTAATGCCAAAGTTTAACAGAGCCATTGAATCATTGAGCAGATCTTTGGTTTATATGTGCTGGGAGGAAGGTCTTTTATTGCTCCCAAAGGAATAGCATTTCCATTTATTTCTTTAATATGAATACAGGGAATACAACTTTTAATGAGGGCATAATGCAAGCTTTGTGTCCCCGGCTACATATTAAGCTATCTCTTGGCAGCCATTTCTTGGATGATTTAAATCTAAATGTCTTGTACTTTTTTCCTACCCTCCAGAGCACAGTTTAATCTAAGTTTTGAAAGAACATCAAATACTTTTAAAGCATGTGTTTTCATTTTATAATGTGTTTAAATCTGTAAATAAATAAATCCATGAATTGATTCATTTAATCTGTTTCCACTGATTTTCTTTTTTATATTTGTATTTGTTCGAGCAAATGTTATGTGAAAAAAAAATAATAATATGATCGTTCCTCAGCATCTACTAAAAGAAAAATACCAAACAAACATTAGCAGTAAGTATAGTGGCTACTCGATATTTCATATCTAAATTCAGGGTAGGCCCTGCACAGGTCTCCATCCATCACAAGGCCACACAGAGACCACCAAGTGTTTAAATGTCTACTTTACTTATCCCAAAAGGAAACCCAAAAGAAGGAATTTTGAGAGAAAGCCAGCAGGTGCTCTAAATCTAATTCACTTGAATTGAACAATTGTGGCCATCCTAATAAAAACCGATGTCCTCAGCAATTATTTGAAAGCTCTTTCATACTTGATCAGTAGTTAAATAGTTCACGTAGTGGTTGGAAATCTGGGAATCTGCTGAATTCCTCTGTACAGCTGATCACATTACACATAAACCAATTTTTGTCGGCAGCATTTCACAGTCACTTTAGTGGGAGCGATAGACCATTTAAATTGCATTGATTTACGGTAATTGTGGTTTTTCAACAGAAAAACACGTGCTGCGGGCAGTTTGGGTAATTGAACTCACCACACAGTAATTACCAATGAAAAGCCTTAAAATGTTGTCACACACAGCATTTTGAAAACAGAATGAGCGTCTTAATCCACAACAAATTTCAGTCGGCAAACAAATTTATATTCACCACTTGCGTTGTTCAAATCTAGAATAATGTTGGCATGCTATAATTTAGTGATGCCACATGGATCGCATGAATTAAGAAGAGAAAATGAGTGTGCTTACAGTTTTGCTGAGGTACCCAGTGGAGATATTCTTGCATTGTTTATCCTCGGAGTGGCAGCAGCCTCCACATCTGTAGACGGACACACATGGTGGCTTATAGAAGACGTTGGTGGGAACCCCAAACTCCCTGCCCACATCAACACACACTTCTCTTGGCATACATTGAGTCTTCCTCCATTCCGACTCTATACCTGCACACACAGCAAGTCAGCCGTTTGCAACATGTCTTTTGCTTTTTCAATGGACGTGCACATGGACAGCAGGACACAGACACACAAAAATATGTGACAGACGATTGTGGTTTACTGAGAAAAATAATCATGTGGCTGTGTTTTTATCTCTGTATGAGGAAGTGAAAACTGACAGCTTATGTTTTTTTTACATGGGTGTCTGCTTTGAGCATCCAGGTCTGAAAAACTAATGCAAACATACTTTTTAGAACATCCAAGTTGAGGTAGGCGGCAGCATACGTTGGCTCCTCTGCATCAGAAAGCGTCCTCAGTCGATGAGGCTGCGATCTCTGGGAGAGTTTCGAAGCTGTAGGTACAGTAGCAGCAGAAAGTTTGGATCTACACTTCAGGGCAGCCCAGTACGAAGGGTAGATGAGGCTCATCAGCTCGTCTACGCTGGAAGCCGAACGCAACTTCTCCTCCATGTCGGGCTTCGGAGAAGCGTCCTGTAAATAAAAACAACAGAAAAAAAAACAAGAGACCACTTCATTCAAAACTCTGCTCCTAATAGAGTTTCCATTGTTTGTGATTCTGCACTCCCACTGACCAGGAAACACATTTCTCCACGATATACACATTACAAGTCAAAATTAAAGTAGGGCTGAATTAACTCTGGTCAGTTTTCATTTGAATCTGGACGTCCATGTGAAGTTCAAATGAGTGAAAAGGAGGAAGTGAAAAATACCATTTCCAGCTATTGTCTCGAGAATGAATTCCTTTGCTTGGGAGTTGGGTCCCATTATCCCCTATATTTCCTTTTAACGCAGACCACTTAGCTCCAACTTAGTTTCAAATGGATCCATTCTTTATCCAACAGAAAGCTTATGGACATAGAGAGAGACAAATAATTTGGCTTCATAGCTACCATTCCTCGTCCAATCAATCAAAAAGTATTCCGTACTCATAGCCTTCGTGCCAGTAGTGTGTCTGGAATGTAGTGTTTACAGGGCAATGTCAAAAACAACTATTTTGCAACTTTCTTAATAGAATCCCCTCTGAAAATACACTGATATACCAATAGCAAAAAAGAGAAAATACCACCACACATCTAAAGCATGTCGTTCTTTTCTGGCACCCCTATCATTATTCCTTTTGAAACAATGGCATACTTAATAACTATCTGATTATATTACATTTGCAAAGTGAACAGGAGATGTGGACAATAAGCCCCGCTCAGTCCTTGACGGGTATTCTGATGGATCTCTTTTGCGTGGGCAACATAGCGGGGAAAGACCGGTTCCTCTTCTGAATAGAACCAAACACCCAAATCTCACCGCCAGTCCCTAAAAGAAAGCGGTTCCCTTCTTTCTGACCTGTCAGCGGTCAAGGGAGAGATTAAGGAGGGGGAGGAGGCGGGTCTAATTTAGGTCGCCCCTCAGACACATTCCCTTGTCTGAATGTGGACAAACCGCTGAGTCACCGCTTCGTCCATTGCTTTACATCCATATAAGAAGCAACTGAAACATTTCTTATCTAATAGTACACACAAAATACAAATTGCACAGTCCAAAAGATGAAAAGTCCAAGTTACTGTAAGTGACAGAGTTATTACCCCAGCAGCAAAGCACTGTCCAAGGTCTGGTTAACAATTAGTTTCCTGGATTGTTTTCTAACCGTCATTCTAGCTCTCGTCATTCTCGTTGAGTATCTCGGACCAAAGAAAGCTTTATTTATCCTCTTTGTCTGCTTTCCCGTAAGAAAAAAAAGAATGTGTGATCCAATAAAGCCAAAACTGTGTACTGTTCAGTCAGCTACAATCAAAACTGCCATAGAACCTTAGAAAAACCAGACTGGAAAACCGTATACAGAAAAAGTGAATAGGATAAATATTTTGGACTGAGCCCATTAGGAGAACTAAAGGCCAGTAAAAAGACTCTTAAAGTTAATCCAGGTATAAAAAGCGAGCCAGCGCAGGACTGTCAGAATTAGCATCACATGCCCTCTTAGTGGTTCTCATCAGCAGAAGAAGAGATGAATTTGCATTAGCTGCAATGAATCAATGGTCTTTTTAGGAAGAATCGTCTAGAAGCAAACTGTATAGAAATGTGTTTTATGAATACATTTGACTTAATGGCTTACTATTTTCTGATCATTGCTCTTAGCAGGCCTGCGATGGACTGATCCAACCAGCCTATCTGCTCCACAGCCCCAAACTCATCCGCTTCTAGTCTGAACTGGACAAAGCCAGACTTGAAAATGGTTAGATAGACATGTCTTATCATAAAACAATAGCGAGTCAAATGACACGCCTAACTACACTGAATTTGATCGATGAATTTACCTTTAACTTCTATCTACAAAGAATTTAAGTTAAAAATTGACTATCTATTGCCCAATGATCATTTTCTAAAGTAGGTTGACATAATGACATGACAAAAATCTATGGCTCATACATGTTGTAAGCATCAGAAAACCTCAGTTTTTGAATGCAGTTCGTCCCATGTCACAAACACTTGCACACAATCACACTTGAAGGGCTCCAGTGCAGCTAAATGATGAGGTGGAAAAACTAGAGTTGAGTACGGGAAAACTGAGCAAAGCTGGTGTTTCACACAATTCTTTTTCTTTTTGATCATGTTTTTGATTGTTAAATTCATTTTTTGCATCTAATGTGGGTAAAACCATGTCAAATAGACAATAGGATATTAATTTTGAGGCATTATCAAAAACATCTGCTAACTGAAAGCTGATCTTTCATATTAGTATTGATGATAATAATAAAGTAGAAGAAGAAGACAAAAAAAGGTCTGGTACGTGAACAAAACCCTAAAAAGAGAATTGAGCCCATAACATTAATCTATTCATGAGCTCACCAGTCGTAAATACAGATAAAACAAGCATTACACTTCCCAGTTTGTTTGTTTTTGTTACGATGATGCAGGGCCTTCAGTCAGTACACTTCTTTGTTCATTTCTAAGCATTGAATTTAAAAAATCAGCAAAGCATATCATTAGCCAAGCCAACCTGTTACAAACCAAACAACAAGTTTTCTTCTTTTTTTGTATTTTACTGATTGACTAATGTATAGCTGGTTTAAGTGACTTTTATCTTTTTTCCTGTCCTTCATCACAGTCAAGTATGCCATTGTACTAAATCTGATAATAAGCAATTATTCATGCACACAATAAGGAACAGTATCTTTGCTTCAAGCAAGGCCATACCATTGTGTTGTGCAGCAAAAAACGATGCAAACACTGTCCTACTAGCAATGTGTCCCTCTGGAAGGATATGTGTATTTTCTGCTCTGAAGAAGGACCAAATGGTTCAAAGCTGGCGAGGGATTCAATGTCTGGCACTAAATAAGTTACCATTTTGATGTTTTCTGCAGTTTCTTGGCAATTTTGAAGTTTGGTTGTTTGAAATGTATTTGAAATATCAACACCGCTGAGACCACAGTCAAGTCTGAAGGCCGCAAAATGAGTGTCAGTATATCAAAGGCCTAGCTTTCACAGATCATTTAAACTTAAGTTCAAACCGCTCACATGGCAAATTTATGTCATTTCTCACAGCAACTATCTAAAGAGTAAAGCAGACAGGATATGGACATACCAAAACCACAAAAACAGTTTATTTCCCTCTGTACTGACTCAACAGAGAATGTTTCAGTCGGGATTCAGAACACTTCATAGCACAGAAGTTACCAATATTTTATCTAAAGGAACTGCTTAATTCTGGTTTATGGTTTATTTTCTAATGGATTCTTGGTGTAAATTATGAATCTTCCACCAAATTGAGTGAGTCAAGCATTTTCTAGGGGTTCTGTGTCAGAAACGGATAATTTTCCCTTTAAACCTGCTTGGCATAAATGCCATTGTTATGCTCATGATACTAAGTTATAGCTATCTAAGAAACCCTTTCAAACTAACCACTCGGTTAAACATCAAGTATGTCTTGAAGACATAATGAGTGACACTTAATTTCCTGCCTCTAAATTTCAAACTTAAGGTGTTTTCTTTGGATACGAGCAGAGCAGGGACCTCGGGGAGAAACTGTGTAGTTATATAATCTATCGATATGGGTTAGGGTTAGGGTTAGACTAGAGTCAATGGATTCTAGTCCTTCAGTGAAGAACTTCTGAGTATTTTTTGTACCAGAATATGTTCTTTTACTAGCATAAAAAGCAGTTTTGGAGGACTTCCTTCTTTCAACTTCGAAATTTCTCCCAAATTAGGGACACTGTATCTATTTCATCAGGATTGGACTTCTGGAATCCTTTATTTTTTGTTCTGTCCCCAAAATCTCTGTGAAAAGCATTCAGCCTGTCCAAAATGCTGTAGCCAGAGCTCTGATGAGAACCAGCAGCACAGATCTTATTTTTCCAGTTTCAACTTCTCATCATTGACTCTCCCTGTTGAGTCCAGAACGAAATCTAAAGTTCTGCTTTATCTACAGATAAAGCTCGGAATGAGCAGCTCCATCGCGTCTTAAAGACCTCATAATTACATATTTTCCCAGTAGAGCTCTCAGACTTGTAGGTCGACTTGTGCTTACAAGGGTTTTTCTAAAAGTCTAATGTTATCCAAGCACCAGTTCTGGTTCAGGAAGTTGAAAACTCACTTTACCTTCAAGATCGGGCTTAAAACTTTCTATTTGAACTGATTTTATTGTTATTTATGGTTCAGATGAACCTGAAACATCTCATTGACATGCAGCCATAGGACTGGACTGCTGGGGGAGCTCCCATGCTGCATCTCTCTTCGGTCTTTCTTTTTTTCCTCTTTCTTGCTCGTACCAGTGATATTGTTGTTGTTTCTCCTTCTCGGCCCGTGTCCCTGAGTTGCTGCTATGTTTTGTCTCTCTTTCCGGTCCTCTCCATCTCCAGCTGTTCGAGGCAGATGGCCACCCTCCGATTCTAGTTCAGCCAGAGGCTTCTTCCTGCTATTCGGGAGTTCTTCTTTCCACGGAAGCCTCGTGCGCACTCTGAATGGAGGATTGAATCAGAACCGATGGTTCCTTTAGCGAAGAAACATTTAGTTGATTGGATCTGTACAAGTTTGACTCATTTGGGGCAGGAATTAATTGGATTATGACTGTTTTACAATGAATTTTTTCCACAACGTCCTGGAATTGGATTGTATCTTGTAGTACTACTTCCTTGTGGTATATGAGGTATGGAGTTGCCTTTGAATTTGTCTTTCTGATTGTGGAGAAGGGTGGTGGTTAAAGCTGTAGGCGTGGAACCGGGGGTGTGTCTTATCAGTGAGCTTTGCACAAAAAACTTCACGGGAGCATCTGTTCAGGGTGGATCTTTATAGATTGTACCAAGAAGTACAAACTGGGTCCATTGTCTGTAGATTTCTCATAAGCTGCTTCCTCTTACTTGTTTCTGTAAGCGCGTAGCCCTAAGCATTGTGAACCTGCTTTACACTCTCGGCCACTTTCTACACACTGAAACGATTTTCATCAGTGTTGAAATAAACCCCAAACCCCGACCTTTTCTTCTCACTGACTCTTAAAACTATCATTCAATACATATTTTTCAACAACCCATACCCCTAGGGTACTCAAATGTGAAAGGGTTACCTCTAAAACTCACCTCATCTGAAATCATTTTCATTCTTTTAGTGGATATCCATCTAAAAAACCTCCTAACCCTACACAACACATGCACCCTCCTCCTAACATGTCCTCAGGTCTCCCTTAACCCTGTAAAGCCAAATGTATCATATTTGATACATGCTGTTTCTGAAATGTTTTGCGTCTGACACCTTTTGCATAATTTAATGGTAAAAACTTTGCTCCAAATCCTATTGTACACAATCAGATACACCTGATAACAGGGGGCAGAAGATTACACCAAAAATAATATTGACTTATCGCATAGTAATAAATTATTAATATTAAAATGTTATTTTTGTTTTTTCTTTTTACATATTTTGTTAAAAGGCCAAATAAGAGATTCAAACAAAAAAAAAGTCATTTTCTGTTTTGTTTTATTCTTGGATCAGGCGTTAAAGGGTTAAGAGTTAAAAGGTCACATATTCTCATTACCGCATAATTACATAGAGGTGATAAAAATTAGTTTGATGAGAGAGTTTTAAGATGTTTATAAGATGAAAAACGTTTTTCCTCAGTCATTGTTTAAAGTGATGTTCCAGGGACAGAGTTTAATATAAAAATTCCACCTAAATTTCTCAGACTGCTCCTATGAGCTCCTATGATTGCTTAATTTAAGGTGTGACTAGGTCTATTTTAGCTGAACTGGTAGTTGTTATTCTACAATAACAACTACCCCTTGTCTGAAAAGTGGCATAAGAAGGGTTTAACTGGGGAATACAGCTTAATATTCTCAGCATAATCAAGTTAAGTAATAAAGTCTTATTAGTCTTAATCGATTGCTAATTAAGTTTTTTTATCCATAGTGCTTTAATCTCTACTGTCTAGCTTTCTGGTTGGTAAATTGCAACTAATATAGATTTTAAAAAAGTTGATCATATGGAAGTCTACCCTAATGCAGTTCCTGAGATGTCTTTGATTAAAATATAGATATAAATAGACTTAATGTGACTTAACTAAAAAGTAGAATTTGTTCAGTTATCACAGAGTTGGTCCAACAGTAATAAAGTGTAAAACATTGTGTTGCCAACAAAGCCGTAAGTTGAAATGTCTGGGAAATTAGTCATTGAACTCAAAACTATGAGGGAAAGTCTATGTACGCTAATCCGAACATACAGACAAATGGCAACGAAAATAAACCGAAAGAAAAGAAAGGACAAATCAGTTGGAAGTTCCAAATGGAATTCCTACAGAGGAGGCTGAGCCAGAGAAACATTGCTTGAGAGAAACCCAAAGAAAACATGGTAAAAAACACTCAGACGCATAGTTGAAGTGGAGAGACCTGTCAGATACATAAACGAGGAGAACCTCAAAGAAAAAAAAATCAAACATGAATTTTAAGCCATCTTATAAAGCATCTAACAATACGCTTTCCCATGCCACTCACAAGTTACTCTAAGTAAAAAGATACTTTTATTGTTTTCAACCTAATCAATCAAATCGTTGGTATGTATTATATTTTATTTTATTTTATTTTATTTTATTTTATTTTATTTTATTTTATTTTATTTTATTATAACATAAGATAAGATTTATTGATCTAACATTGGAGAAATATATATTATTTTGAATTGATTTTTCCAACATAGAAAGAAAGTACATCCAGCACATCGATTTTGATATAAAACAGGCACATTTTTCTCCCAGAACATTTGACAATTTTCATATAAAAACCGTCCAACATCTCTAGTGCCATTTTGTCAACTTGCTTTTCAACACTGGCCATGTTTTAACGTTTCATGTGCATTCCAGAGTATGATCACCAGCCTTTTGAACACACTGCTTCTCGTGCGGTCCCAAAGTTCCCTCTGACTGTTTTCTTTTCCCATTTTGGAGCCAAAGGATCATTCATTTTTATTTCTGTCACATGAAACCCAAATAATCCACAAGTCAACCTCTTTCATCTTATGTTTAGAATCAACCTCGCATTCAGATGTTCAAAAGTTAAAGTTTGCCCATCTTGCCCATTTCATGATATTTAACTTTATATAAACGTGACATTCATAAGTTTCAACGCACTGTATGAACATTGTGATATGTTGCATTTATCTGTCAACGACCTCATACCTTTCCAAATCAAAAGGTTTGTGAACTTTATTTGAAAGGATAAATATTTAGTATATGTATTACTTTAGTTTATAACTTAAATTTGCCAGCACAGTTTCTCACCTCTACCTAAAAAATACCTGATGAGGACCAAAAAGGGGGCCAGTTAACAACCTTTACAAAGCATCATCTATACATTGTCGTACAGATATGCTAATGATGCTTTTAAACCCCAAATGACATGATTTTTCTTAATATCTTGAATAGTGAAAAACTCAAAAACCTTTAATCTACCTTTTTGTTTTATGTTACCGTGGAATTAAGTCATCTCAATAAGTGACATCATTTAAAAGCTCTGGTAATATATCTTCAAATGATGGTCATGTTCCTTGAAAAGTTGTAAATTTCAAATTATCAACTGTCTAATTCAGACTTAATAATGAGAATTCTGACGTTCAAACATCCTCCATCCATCTATTGTCCTTATCATCTGAACCAGGAACCATTTTGAACAACAGTGCTAACCATCACCTCTCTGCACAGCCCATGTTCAAACTTTTAGACCATTAATACTGTCGCTTTCCAAAAAGATTAGCAATCACTTGCATGTCATCAGCTTGTTAAATGAGGTCTTACATTCTGGAAATGGTGAAACTTAAAGTTTAATGTATTTTAGCGTGTGGCTAAAGGTTATTTTTGTTTCCAGTCCCATAATCACTGTGGGTTAACAGCATTTACTACCTCCAAAGGTTAAATCTGTGGTTTGTTGGCATGTTTGTAAGAAAGACCTATGCATCCGAGAACAATAATCTGACTCTCTTACATGCGAAGTGTTGAAATTCGGTAATTATTAGTGCACATGTTTTACTAGGAATTATTAACCGTACATCTCCGGCTAACTCCATTCAAGGCTTACTCAAGAGTGCAAAAGAGTTGGGATTCTATTGGTGTCGAGGAACAGCTTTTATGAGTTTCATCAAATATAACAAAAGAGTTCCAAGTATACATGAGACGTTGCTGAGCGCATTGTTCGATGCAACCTTGAGTCGTTTTCACATGGTTGTTCAACTGCCAGGGTCTCCTTCGCCATTGTTCAAACATCCAACGGCTAAAAAGTGCACCCAAGCCCTACCGAGGAGGAATGGGAAAGCGTATAGAGCCAGAGTGAGAGGAAGCTGACCTCTCCACTCAAAAAAAAAAAAAAAAAAAGAGCCTGATCTGTGAGCCAGTGTGTGAGTCGGGGTGAAAATCTGTGGTAGAAGTTTTGAGAATTGTGGTAAAAAGATTCGGAATAACTGGAATTGAATTAATCCTGCGTTATTTACGTTGGATGAGTTAGATTTCTGCAAACTTATACATAGGTTGAACTTTCAGTTTCAGCACTTTCTACAGAAAATCTTCCAGGGATGCCATCCTCTGGATGAATTACTCAATAATCAGAATCAGAATCAGAAATACTTTAATAATCCCCGAGGGAAATTATTTTTGTTACTGGCTCCATAAATAAAAACAACGGCATATACATATATACATGTCTATACATATATATATATATACAGTGGGGGAAATAAGTATTTGACCCCAAGTATTTGCAGGTTTGCCCACTTACAAAGAATTTGCTCATCAGATGGTTATCAATTTTTATAAATTCATATGATGTGATTTTCTGGAATTTTCTTTGGGATTCTGTCTTTCACTGTTAGAATGTACATATGATTAAAGTTATAGATCGTTGCATTCTTTGTAAGTGGGCAAACCTGCAAAATCAGCAAGGGGTCAAATACTTATTTCCCCCACTGTATATATATATATATACAATTCCACATATTATATAGGTAAATATGTACATAAATAACTATATGTATATATATATATATATGTCTAAATAAGTGGTGGAAAGCCATCACTGCTACCAGCAGCCATCATGATAGGATTGTAGCACTTTTCAATTAAAGCCAAAAAACATGTCAGAGCAACATTTTTAGTCACAGACAAACTGAGGAATCATAGACTTAACACTAAATATATATTAATCCAGTTTCTACACCCTCTTATTCAGGGTCTCTGGGGAGCTGGAGCCCATTCCAGACATCACTAAGCGAGAGGTGGGCAACAGGTTGGAATGAAAGATCGCGTATTTTATGTTCAATGCTTAAGAATTGACTTGGGTATGAGTTACAGGCTGCATGCGCATATTTATTTGTATAATGCAAAAGAATGTGAAGACAATAACCGCATTTTTTCTATACCAAACAAACGGATTGCTTGGTGGTCTCACTGAGACTGGGCTGTTTCTGTTTTTCCCACTCGTTCTTCTGTGAGCGTTCGGGTTAAAAAATCCATCACGGCTGTGTTTGTTTAACAGTCAAGCATTTTGATTTCGGTCACACAAACACACGCACAGACACGCACCGACGGAGACGGTTTACATGGTTTGTGTTGCTTTAGATGGGCTCCCGACGGAAAACAGTTAGTGACTCACCACCAGTCTAAGCCTCTCTTGAATTCTGACAATGTGGTTTCTTTCTCTTATGTAACAGCCCAGCAATTAACTGGATATTCGACCTAAATGATTGAAACAAGTTAGAATTAGTCACTTTTTTCGGTACCAAAGATTTAGCCTTTGGGACTTGAATAAACTTTAATGTGTTCTTCATATCAATTGCATCAAACATGGTTATATACGAATGAATAAATAAGAATAACATTATTATTACAATGTCTTAGATGATAAGTGGGTTTGGTCCTTATGTCAGGTATTATTTCTCCCTGAGAAGTTTAAAGATAGGAGTTCTGTACTTTTCTTTGTTTGATTTGTTTTTTTATCCAGTTGACAGTCTAGTTTGTAAATTGTCTGAGATTTGCTGTGAAGCTTTAAGCTTTTTGCGTCTAAAGATAAAGTGCATTTGATGATGATTGATTATCAAAAACAAATTAACTGCATCTTCTGTATCTTTGCATCAGAAAAATCATGAGACATTTCTAAAAAGCCAAGGTCTGCCTAATTTCTCTATACATATAAAAAACTCTATTGTTATCCCATTAACAGTCAATCAACAAACCTACTTTACCCATTGGTTTCAATGATTAATATAATCTGTATACTGTATCTGTTAGTAACCAATTTGCATTATTTTGGCCCATTAAGTGACAATGAGACAAATAAAGCGAACAAATGTCACATGATCCATTGTGAGCTGAAAGCAGAAGAGCATCTTTCGGTTTGTTTGTTAGTCATTATGCGTCAGAAAATTAAAGAGAGGGCTTTACTTTCTGAATGACTTGAATTAAAGCGTAAACGAGCTGGAACGCACAACGCATCACCACCGAGTTTATTCTCTTTTTACGAGGTATCACAGGCAAAAAACTCAAACAAAATGCTACCAGCAGCCAGCAACTCGCCATGCCAAGTTCTGCATGCCTTAAGAGAGCTATCCAGCTGTGGGACTGGGCACAGCTCAAGTGAAAACATCAGGTTTTTTTTCAGCTGCCGGCTGAAGCTGTGCAGCTGCATTGTTATTTGTAGTGACGTTAGATATAACCCCTTTTGTTTATCGGATTCATATTGAGATCTGTTCATATCTTCTACTTTAGCTATGTTCATCAAAGCCTCATTGTTTTCATTAATATCAACTTGCTCCCTTCTGAGCTCAGTGAGTTATTGCCTTGATTTTAATTTTGATGTAATTCATTTCCTGTTTAACTTCTTCTTTGAAGTGGTGGTGAATTAAAAATTTTGCACAAACTCTGAGTCAATTAACTTTGAATTTTTCTCTTCACTTGATGCCTCCTACTTCTTTGGATCTTTACTTTCCATTGAACACAACAACATCATGAGTCATGGGGAAATGGAGAATTGAGCAAACAAAGCACTAACTTCAAACTGAAGCAAGAAAAGATGCCTAAAAGATGTTGTGCTATGATAAAACCGAGTCAAGTCAACCTTAATGTGTACCACTGAAGGTGTACACTGCTGTACACCCAATTCAATAAATGCTGAAACCTGTTTGAAATGGATGAAAAAGACTGTAAGAAATCAATAATAAACAAAAATATCAATTAGGACGAAAGTTGGGAGCTAATATTCACAATTGTGTTCCTATGAAAGAGGTAGGCATCGTCTTTAACATTAACAAAGTGCTGACCACATTTATAAAAACAATATAAAAAAGAAATTGCAATAAAATTATTTCCTTTTTTTGTTTTTCCTGGGTTTTTTTCTTTTTTTCCTTTCCCCCCCTTTCCCCCCTTTTTTCCCTTTTTTTCCACCTTTTTTCCCGCATTTTTTCTTTTTTTTTCCTTTTTTTATTTCCTATTAAGATATACAGTTTTTATTTTTCATGTAATCTATTTTCAATGAAGTCTGCCCTTCATGTGTGCCATACAGTCTATGACTGCTAATGAAGATTAAATCAGCTTTAGAACAAATAAACTTAAATCAAACACAGCATCCACCATACTGAACAGTGTATCGTGTTGTTAGCTAACTCTGATAAAGTATTTTAACAGACTCTTTACCTCCCAGCAGTGAAAAGCTGCCTTCATTATGCATTCTGGCCCCTATGAACCCCCCATTCACTCCTATTCACAGCTCCCCCACACCTCCCATTCAGCCCCCCACCGCCTAAAACACAGCATCTAGACCTCTGGGGTCTGGGGGTCAGGCTTTGAAGGGTCCAACACCAAGTGGTTAACCTTCACATGTCAAAACACTCGAAGAGGGCTCTCACATTCTTTCAAAGAGCATCACAAGTCCAAAAAGACCGCATTAATACCGGTGGGCCTCGTCCCAGAGGACTGGGGGTCAGAGAAATGCACATTCACTTTAAATGTGTCGTTTAGGACAATATTCAATTTACATGTGTTGGATAATATTCACTTTAAATGTGTTATTAAGAACAATATTCACTTTAAATGTGTTATTAAGAACAACATTCACTTTAAATGTGTCGTAAATGTGTCATTATGGTAAACATTCACATTAAATGTGTTTTTGAGGACAACATTCAATTTGAATGTGTCGATGAGGACAACGTTCACTTCAAATGTGTCGTAAATGTGTTGTTAAGGGCAATATTCACTTTTCATGTGTCGTTTACGACAACATTCAATCTAAATGTGTCGGTGAGGACAACATTCACTTTAAATGTGTCGTAAATGTGTCGCTAAAGACGACATTCCTTTTAAATGTGTTGTTAAGAACGACATCCACTTTTAATGTGTCGTTGAGTACAACATTCCCTTTAAATGTGTCGTAAATGTATTGTTAAGGATGAAATTCCTTTTAAATGTGTTGTCAAGGACAGCCTTCACTTTTAATGTTTTGTTTACGACAACATTCAATCTAAATGTGTCCTTAAGGAAAACTAGTACCTTCAACATTCCTTTTAAATGTGTCATTAAGGATGACAATCAATTTAAATGTGTCATTGAGGACAACATTTACATTTAAAAGTGTCGTAAATTTGTTGTAAAGGACGACATTCACTTTTAATGTGTCGTTTACGACAACATTCAATTTTAAATGTGTCGGTGAGGAAAACATTCACTTTAAATGTGTCTTAAATATGTTGTTAAGGATAAGATTCCTTTTAAATGTGTCGTTAAGGACAACATCCAATTCAAATGTGTTGTAAATGTGTTGTAAAGGCTGACATTCACTTTGAATGTGTCCTTTACGACAACATTCAATTTTAAATGTGTTGGTGAGGAAAACATTCACTTTAAATGTGTCTTAAATATGTTGTTAAGGACAACATCCAATTCAAATGTGTCGTAACTGTGTCGTAAATGTGTCGTAAATGTGTCGTAAATGTGTCGTAAATGTGTCGTAAATGTGTCGTTAACGACAACATTCGCTTTTAATGTATAATTTAGGACAACATTCAATTCAAATGTGTTGTTGAGGACAACATTCACTCTAAATGTGTCCCAAATGTGTCGTTAAGGACCATATTTAGTCTAAATGTGTCGTTAAATGTGTCGTAAATGTGTCGTCAAGGACAATATTCACTTTAAATGAGTGGTTAAGGGCACTACATACATATTCACTGTTTTATACCTGAAAGATCTGGTAAGTTTGTTTGGCTTCTTTTTCATTTAATTTGTTCTTTAACACCTCTCTCTAATTGAGTGGCCAGTGGTTAGTAATGAAAGTAAACGAGGAAATGGGAGGATGGCCATCAGGTGGCAAAAGCTTGAGTCCTGTGATGGATTATTGATTTCAAAAGAAACTATTTTAACATCTGTGATAACCCTCAAGATATCTGACAGTGCAGTCTAAAGATGTTTTTTAGTTCCGTAGACATTACACAGTTCGGTAAAAGGATGTTACACCAGAGTTCACGGTGCCCTTTAGTTTTCTTTTTCTGATTTTCTTTTTTTTTTTTAGTATTTTTCCTTTTTTTTTTATCCACAACCCATTGAAATCATCAGTTTCTGACGGAATCAAAGCGTTAATCTTAAGTAAAGATTCTAATGATATTGTTATGTCCACTGACCTATTGTAGCTCTACTTTAGGGGTAATTTTGTTTTATTGGAAGATTGGCAGGGGTTGTCATCCTTTTTTTTTTTTAAACCTAATTCTCTCCTGTTTTGTGGCAAGCCAGGGAGATTTAGTGTTACACCTTTGTTTGTTTAGGTCAGGCTTATCTTTATGTTCTAGTGAGAAGGGCTATTTTTGTTTGTTGTTTTGGCCTTGGAGACCCTGACGTTTATCGCGTCCCCTTTGTTTATTAAGTCTTTCGTTAAACCCTGACTGAACCCTGTGGAAATAAAGCCCTTCTTTTTATGCTGAGCTGGTTTGCTCAGTTGTTTTGTGTTTGTTGGTTAAGAAGTTTATTTGACCAAATTTGCGTTGCACCTTGTTACTTCTAGTTTTCCATTGAAAGGTTGGAACAATTGTTTTATGCAGTACTTTTTTCAAAATAAAATCCTGATGCAGGTATAAAGTCTCCTGTCTGAATGTGGACTGAAGTGTTTTTCAGGGTTTTTCCATAGTCAAAAATATAATTTAAATATTCAAAGCCATTGTTTACCTTCAGGGGGCATTCTAGTTTGTTAAGAAGCTGTTTAATCATTTTATCACAAGA